ACTTTATAGATAACCAATTCCTTAACCCTAGAGAATGAAGGTATTGTTGGGAAACCTAAGTATCACCTCAGACTAGTAGAGGAGACATTTGGGAGATAAGAAGGCATTTCAGTCACTACAATTATGCACGTGAGTGACTCCTTATCTGCCTTCAGTATGTGATTACAGTTGGTGATTACTAATGATGACCTACTAGTAGAAAATGAATTCCTAGGGAACCGCAAGTCATCTGGAATCAAATTAAGCCTCCTCCCACATAACAATCCAATAACATGCTTTGGTGCTGTTACTCTGGTAACAAGATTTCACTTGAGCAGAGAGAGCAGGTCCAAACAAAACTTTTAATGCTCCAGAATTCAGTTACTAGCTTAGCACATACATAGGCTATTAGGAAGTAATTATTCCAAACTGCACTGTCTTCAGGCCAGTCTCGGGGAAATTCTGACTGATGTAGCTCAGTAAAATGTGGATAGGACAGCCAACTATCACTGTCATTCAGTTTGGTTGAGGAACTGTCCATTCAAGACAACCAGAACTTTAAGAGTAGACAAGAAATTGTATCTTGAGTCACTTGTTGAATCTTATCCTCTCATGGCCTGCCTACTCATCTGCCGTGAGCTTGCCCTAGAGAGTTTAATGACCAGTGAACTCTTGGGGGATAGTGGTGAGGCATATTGAAAGAACAGCTGTGGAAGAGGAAAAAGATGGAAATCAGTCAGTCAACTAGTCAGTCACCTACCATGTGCCAGGCACTCTGCTAAGCCTTGGGAATATAAAGAAATGTTAAAAAGTCCCTGCTCAAGAAGCTTAGAGTCTAATTGTTGAGGTTTAGGGGTATTGGGACCCCAAAATCATGACACATGGGTTCTGCCCAATGAATTCAAACCAAGCCTTTTTTCAGCCAAAGACAAGGTTTATTAAAGATCTGCCATATTGACCAAACTCTTAAGGAACCTGAACATTTGTGAGCTATTGGCTAGATTTTAAGAATCTGAGCCCCTTAATGGAGACAAGATGGACCTTACATACAGAAAGACTGTAGGAGGGATTTAGGAGTGGCCAAGTAGTCTGGGGTGACTGGAGGAGGGGTCTAAGGAGGATCTGGATGGGAGTGGCCAGTAAGCTAGGGTGACTGAGGTAACAGAATGCCAGAGACCTGGACTGTGTGGCCAGGGGAGAAAAGAGCCTAGATAGGATTAAGGGTGGGAAGTGGCCAGGAGCCAAAGGGAGGCAAGACAATGGAAGGCTAGGCTAGGTTAAGAGTAACAGGATTGAGAGATTGGGCATGTAGGTGATAATGAAAGACCAGGTGATAGGATTATAGCCTCAGGCCAACACCAGGGATTGGGCCATGTGGGAAAGCCCAGAGCTTTCCCTTTTTGGGGTCCAGATCCCAAAGACATGGTTTTTTCCTTTTAGGGGTTCAGATCCCATCTCCATTATAATGAGGGAAACATGCAAACAACTATATATAAATAAGATAAATACAGAATAAATTGGTGATGATCAACAGAGGTAAGTCACTCGAGGTAAGGAGGCTTAGGAAAGGCTTCCTCTACAAAGACAAAATTTTAGCTGGGACTTGAAGAAAGCCAGGAGGCAGAAATGAGGAGGGAGAGAATTCTAGGCATGGAGGACAGTCAGAAAAAAATGCCTGGAACAGAGAGATGGAGTGCCTTGCACCAGAAATAGTAAGGAGGCCAGTGTCACTGGATTGTAGAATACAGGGAAGGAAGTAAGGTATAAGACTGGAAAAGTAGGAAAAGTCCAGGTTGTGAAGAGCTTTGAATATTGAACAGAAGATTTATATTTGATACTGGAGATGATATGGAATCACTGGAGTTTACTGAATGGGAGGTGACATGGTGAGACCTATGCTTTAGGAAGATCAATTTGACATCTGAGTCACTGGAAATCTAATCAAATCATGTTTAGAGAAAGAGTCAGCCTTCTATTATAGGAAGAATTAACAGCTTCCTGTGGCAGATGTAGCCAGAATGGCTTACCTGATCCTCAAAGCACCTAACCTACTGGCTTACTGTGATGCCTTAAATTCCATAATGCAATTTAGCTGATATTTCTTGAGTGACTACTGTTTGCACAACACTGATGTTAGGCCCTTTGGGGCTATAAAAGAGAAAATAAGATTTTTTTTCCTTCAACGATCTTACAGTTTAGAAAACTAGAGATTTGTTAGATCCCTATGTCTGACTTGGCAGCTAGGTGACACAGTGAATAAAGTGCCCAGCCTGGAATCAGGAAGACTCATCTCCATGAGTTCAAATTCAGCCTCAAACACTATGTGACCCTGGGCAAGTTACTTAGCCCTGTACTCTAATATCTTTGCCAAGAAAACCCCAAATGAGATCATGAAGAGTCAAACATGACTGAGCAACAAAAATGTCTGACCAAGGATTCTTTGCAAAATTTCACTTGGCATGATATTTTAAGCCTTACGAGTTCAATTCAGCCTGGGGAACACAAACACTAGTTACTGATTTTTAACACTTGTTACTATTTACTAATCCAGATGAGATTCCCTGTTCCCTACACCCAGGATCTACATGTCCAACTCTCCTTTGTAAGGAATAACCAGCTGTGGAAGCAGGTGCTGATGAGGCCTAGAGGTTTAGGGGTGCTGGAATCTCAAAATCACAACACGCGGGTCCTGTCCCACCTAAAAGAATTCGATCCAAGCCTTCTTTCAGCCAAAAACAATGTTTATTAAAGATTTCCCATATTAGCCAGACTCTTAAGGAATCTGCAGGTCTGTGAGGTGTTGGCTAGATCTCACCAGTGATTAGACTATAAGAATTTGAGCATCTTAATGGAGACAAGATGGACCTTATATACAGAAAGACAATGGGAGGGATCTAGGAGTGGCCAAGTAGTCTGAGGTAATAGAACTCCAGGGGTGGCCAAGGAAGAATGGAGCCTAGATAGGATTAAGAGTGGGAAGTGGCTGGGGGACATAGGGAGGTTTAAGGGTAACAGAATTAGGAAATTGGGTGTAGGCACAATAAAAGGCCAGTTGATGGGATTATAGCCTCAGGTGACTGCTTGAGATTTAGCCATGTGGGAAAGTCCCGGGTTTTTCCTTTTTGGGGTCTAGATCCCATCCTCATCAGTGCCACCATTCTTTCACCAAGGCCACTCAATAATCACAGGATTCCAGGGGGAGGGTTGCTAATCAGCTGGTCTTTCCCCTCCCCCCCCCACCCCCAATCTAACAAAGTTACAGCTGGGTTTGGAGTCAAACAACATAGATTTGAAACCCTGGCTACAGCAGACCACCTGTATTAACTTGGGCAAGTCACTTAAAATCTTTGGGACTAAGTTTTCTTATCTGAAAAATGAAGGGGTTGAACTGGATGACTTCTAAGGGCTTTTCTCATTGATTCTACAATGTATTTGTTGCCTCTTCAAAGAAATAATAGTTCATCAAAAGCAGAGACTGCCTTATTTTTGTCTTTTTAATCCCAGCACCTAGTACAGAGCCTGGATCATAATAGATGTTTAATACATGTTTACTGATTGACTAATAGCTAGTTAATTGAACTCATGCCTTGGATATGGCCTTTAAAAGGGAGCTAGACAAATAAAAGACCAAAGCAGATAAATTCAAAGAAAATGACAACAGAGATATCTGGTATCCGAGAGGCTGTGCTACTGAGGGAATATTAATTCAATTAAACAAGAATTTGGCACCTACTATGTGCAAGGCATTGTGCAAAGTTCTGGGGCTACAAAGATTAAAAAAAAAATCAAACAGTCTTTGCCCTCAAGGAACTTAAATTCTATTGAATAAACAAAGGGAAGACTGTGAATTGGAAGACAAACTTTGCCTACTGAATAATTTTGGTCAGAGAGACAGCTAGGTGGCACAGTGGATACAGCACCAGCCCTAAAGTCAGGAGGACCTGAGTTCAAATCTGGCCTCAGACCAGACATTTGACACTTATTAGCTGTGAGACCCTGGGCAAGTCACTTAACTCCAATTGCCTAAAAAATAATAATAATTTTGGTCAGGTCTGGTCCTGTTTAGAAATGCTCCTAATGTCCTGGTCAGTCTTCATTGCTTTTCTTCCCACTGCCAATGACAATCTCATATTACCCTTAGTCCTGTTCAATTTTCTTTTAAAGTTCCTTTACAAAAGTGGCATCAAAATAGGGAAGGAATTTATGTTCCCCTCAGTAACAAGTGCTTTCAATGTGTTTACTTACTTTATGCTCTTACAACTATTTTGTGGTTGGCACTAACCCAGGAATAATCTACTACAGAAAACAGTATCTGAAGCAAACAGGCACTACTATCTTGCAAAGGAATGGCTTAAAGTAGCATTCTCTTTGAAAATCACATGTTCTTTCCTTATCTCTTTGTCACAGATCCTTGTTGTTTTGGGTTCTTGTGTTATTTAAGTGAACAGTATTGGATTCCTAAGAGCCTGGGAGAAAAATCTATAACCAAGCAAGATCTTACCTTTAAGGAAACTATCATGTACATTTTGTCTCCTCAATCAAATACTTCTGGAGGCTCTATATAACATTTGTAAATATTCTGTACATATAAAAATGTTTTTTGAGTCTTAACTGTATTTCAAGGGGGGAAGCAGTGCTATAGACAAGAAGACCGTATTAATTTTTTCAAGGACAAAATGACATTTAGTTTATTTTGTTTTGGCTTGCTAGATGTTGAAGCTTCCAAATCAGAGGGAAATGTGTTCCACAGAAAGGATGTTAAGATAGTGATCATTTTAATTAGTGCATATTTAAGCCCTATTGCTTAACATTTTATAGTTAATTTTATACATTTAATAAAATTGAACCCCACCATCTTTTCAAAGTTACAAATGCTGACTTGAGTCTTTTGTCTTTGCATGCTAAGGATTTTCTTAGCATGTGGGAATCTCTATTTACTTAATAGTAACTAATATTTATAGTAGTAACACAATGCATTTCACATATACTATTTAATTTTCAACTTGCAACATGCTCAGGTAGATACTCCTCATACCACCATCTCCATTTTACAGATGTGAAAACCCAGGCTCAGAAAGGAAAGATGACTTGCCCCTGTTTACAGAACTAGTAATTATGGGAAGTAGAATTTGAACCCAAGTTTATCTTGACTCTTATCCAGTGTTCTTTCTCACCACACCACACTGTCTTCAAGGGGATATCTGTAGGCAGAGAAATGAGAACTTGATCACCTAACTACTCATTAAGAAAGTCTAAAAAGTCTAAATGGATTAAACATTTTACCTAAAAAAAAACATAGGCATTTGTCTTTCAAGTTTTGTGTTCAATTCAAATAAGTGGTTTGTATTTATCAATTCTCCTGAAATTTCTGAAACAAAACTTTTATATGTAATAATACAAGAAAACTTTTCAATCTTAGTTGCTTAAATAAGAAGGCAGGAGTTTGCTTAGCTTTATGCCCAGTCTTTTCCTCCACATGCAGAATACTAAGTAAATGCCACAATATTTTCTTCTTTTTTAAATGTTTTTTTAAAACACCAAGTGAAATGAGTATTTCCATATGCAGTCTAGAGTAGTGAAAAAAAAGATTGTACATGAAACCACAGATATCTCTTACATACAGCTTGGTTTATTTTTCTTTTAAGTATATAATAAATTCAACATATAATTTTCAAAGCTGTCCAACTTGTCTGTTTGCTTCTGCACATTTAAAAAATTCTTCAATAACCCTCTTTTCTTCCTTATCTTTTTTTCCCCAACTCTAACCTACCCAACTCCACCTTTCCTGTTGAAAAATAATAACAACAACAACAACAACCTTGTAACAAATACGCATAGCCAAGCAAAAGAGATTCCTGAATTGGCCATATCTGAAAAATATGTCACATTTTGCCCCCTAAGTCCATCATCTCTCTTCCAAGGGGTGGGTAGCATGCTTCATCTTCCATCCTCTGGAAATATGACTGGTCATTTTACTGATCTGAATCTTAAGTCTTTTAAAGTTGTTGCTGCATTCTTCTGGTTCTATTCATTTCATACAAGTCTTCCTAGGTTTCTCTGAAAGCTTCCCCTTCATCATTTTTTATACACAATAATATTGCATTACATTAGTGTCTTTGACAATCTGATGGGCATAAGGTAGAACCTAAGAGTTATTTTCATTTACGTTTCCTTAAGTATTAGTGGTTTGGAGAACTTTTTTTTTCATATGACTGCTTATAGTTTGTATTTCTTCCTTTGAAAACACCAGCCCTGAAGTCAGGAGGACCTGAGTTCAAATCCAGCCTCAGACCAAACTTGACACTTACTAGCTGTGTGACCCTGGGTAAGTCACTTAACCCCAACTGCCTTAAAAAAAACAAACCAAAAAAAAAACAAAAAAAACCCGAAAACCGCTGACTTATTTATCCCTGGAACCCTAAGGGAAGAAATAGTTATAAGCATCTAGAACCCTAACCTGCCATTCTAGGGCAAGTTTAAAACATCTTGGCATACAATGTGAGTTATTGACCTGAACGTAATTTCCGCCAAACTGCTTTCCAATTTTCCCAAGTGTTTTAATTTAATAGTAAATACTCTAGTAGTTGGGGTGTTTGGGTTTATTGAATAATATGCTATTATACTTGTATGCCTCTCTGTGTTTATATTATATATGTAATTTGTTTCACTGCTTGGCTTTTCAGTTTTTTTAACCAGTACCAAGTAATTTTGAGGATTACTGCTCTGTAGTATATTTCAAAAATGCCAACATCACCATAAAACATCATGAGAAACATCACATTGACTATTGCCTTGGCATTTCATTGTGGGCAAGATTTTGGCTAGAATCCTTCAGGGCTGGCTACCATGCAATACAATCAATCGCTGAAATTACAATGGCATAATAAATGGTACAATGAACATGATCTTCACATAAGAAGAGATACAATGATTTTTTTAAAGCTCTGGCAGCAACATCAAAACCTATATTCACTGACCCTAAAAGCATTTGGTATCATCAATAGGCTTAAGTTCCTGGTGGTTATTTAGCCAGTGGACTTGCCACTTGACAGTAATTAATGACTCTAGTAAAAAATGTTATGGTGATGCATATTGTCCCTTTTGGTACAGGATGCCAGAGATGATAAAATGGCCATTTGATCCAATCCTGTGCAGAAAGCTGTATTTCATAATCAGTCTAATTTTATGCAATTGATTTTATGCAATCATGATAAAGTATGAAACAAAAGCCATAAAACTGGCATTATGATATGTTTCTGGTTATCAAGGAATCTGTTTAATTTCAATAGAAATGTTCAACAGTATATATAGTGCAAGAAATATAGCCGACTCTTCCTCTGCAGGAATATTGCCGGAACAGTATGGCCCAATAGACAGACAACTGAACTTGAAGTCAGAAGACTTAGGTTCTAGTCCTGGCAATATGAAATTATAGTGATACTCTGGTAGTTTAACTGTGATGTGTCTAGGTGTGATAAATCTTAGGTTCTTCCTGATTAGGGGGTTAGAATCCTATGGATTTTTTGGTTTTGGATTTCACTAGTTGTGGGGTTTTTTTGTTTGTTTTTCTGGGTTTTTTCTAAATCTGGAATTTTTTCTTTTTTCTTTCCCTGGAATAAGGTGTTCAGGTACTTGTTTTTGTAAATTTTCTGAGGTATTAGTAATCCTGAGATTGCTGCATTGTCATCCATTCCCTGGGCCTCTCATTTGGATAATTCAGTAATTTTTTTTTTTAAAGGCTGTATCTCCAGCTGTAATGCACTATGTCAATCCCATTGCCTGATCCTGATGAGTAAATCTTCTCTTGGTTGCTTCTTAGGATTTTTTTTTTAGGTTTTCCACATTATTCTCCACATTAACTGGCGCTACTAGGTGGCACAGTGGATAAAGTGTTGGGCTTGGAGTCAGTTCAAATCCAGCCTCAGATGCTTACTAGCTATGTTACCCTGGGCCACCTAAACCTCTGTTTGACTCAGTTTCCTTGTCTATAAAATGGGGAAAATAGTAGCTTTTACCTCCCAGGTTGTGAGGATCAAATGAGATAATATTTATAAATAGCACAGTGCCTAGCACATAGTAGGCACTATATAAATGTTAGCTATTATTAGTTATTATCATTATAATTATTATTATTCATTACTTCCTTCAGATAGTTCTTTTTAAACATCTTTTAATTCTATCTTTATTTCCTCTTTTTAAAAAAATTTTCTTCATACTCTTCTTTCATTTGGCCTTGTGGTTTTCTTACCTGTGCCAATTCTTCTCAAATTTATTTGAATGTGTCCTTATCCACTTGTAGACCTCTTTGGGGATATCACACATGTTTTTCCCCCATCTTCATTGCTTCTGGTACTTTAGCTGATAGCCACTATATAGGTTTGGGTTTTTTTACTATATTGTTTACTGTATTGTCACTTTACTCTGCTCATAGCATCACAAGATCATAGATTTAGCACTAGAGAGAAGGTTAAAAGTCATAAAGTCCAATATCTTTATTTTATAGAGGAGAAAACAGAAGCCCAGAGAGGTTGGCGACCTGCCTGGCAAGAGTAACACAGAAAGCAAGTTTCTTTGGGGAATTCAAACCAAAGTCTTCTTTACTCTGGTACAGTATCCACTGTATTATCCATGCTTCCTTAGATATTTTTAAATTTTAACTTACTTTTATTTTTCTTCTTTGTGCCTTTATTAGCTATTTTTCTTTTCTTTCTCTTTGGTGTTTCTCTTTATTGCTTTTTGTGTAGTATGTGAAGAGCCTGACTTGTTTCAATTTCATCACTCCATCTTGGATCAGTCTCTTTTACCCATATGACATTCAGGAAATCATTTAACCTCTCTGGGCCTCAATTGTCCCCCCAGGAGAATGGAGGAAATAAAGCCAGCTCTGGCTAACTCACAGTGTTGTTGTCAGACTCAAATGAGATGATGTATATAAAAATACTATATATGTAGTACATTATTTTAATTAGACCTCAGTATTCTGAAGAAGCAATCTAAATTTATGTAGATGAAGCACATTCAAACAGAAAAAAAAAATATTCAATGCTTATTTAATATGTGTGCCAGGGGGCAACTAGGTGGCACAGTGGACAGAGCACCAGCCCTGAAGTCAGGAGGATCTGAGTTCAAATCCGACCTCAGACCAAACACTTGACACTTACCAGCTGTGTGACCCTGGGCAAGTCACTTAACCCCAATTGCCTAAAAAACAAACAAAAAAAAATATGTGTGCCAGGCACCGTGCTGAGTACTGGGCATACAAAGTAAAACAAAAATAGTTCCTGCCCTCAAGAAGCTTACATTCTTATAGGAGAGATGACTGTACATAAATGGAGTGTAGGTGGAAAATAATACACAAGGAGAGTACACTGGCAGCTAGGGGTACATAGGAAGGCCTTTCCACAGACCATTTCATCTGAGCTAAATCTTAAAGGAAGCCAAAGTTTCTGAGAGGCAGAAATGGGAAAGAAGACTATTCCAGGCATGGAGGACAGACACCAAAGCAAAGACATGGACAGAGAAGATGGAGCATCATGTGTAGAAACAGCAAACAAGGCCAGTATGACTGGACCACTAAAAGGTGTAGGGGTATGATGTGTAAGAATGGAAAGGGCCAGTTGGTGAATAGCTTTGGTTGGCTGTTGTCCTTCATTCTTGAAGAGGACCAAAATGACAACACTATGTTAGAGTCAAGTTATAGTGTGTCTGACTGTGGCTTATCAGACCAAATGCTCTAGCATAGACTGGGCATAAATAGGCCATGTGAACATTTGGGGTGGATTCTCTAAATTTGTGCATCTCATGTTTCTTTTAAGCTACTTCAATTCTGCTTTGCTCATAGAGCACAACACCTTCTCTGATGAGAGCTTGTCATGCTGGGTGGTCCTGTACCAATGTCTCTCATGTCATGCAATCAATTCCAAAGTTCTTAAGAGAGGCCTTGAGAGTGTCCTTGTATCACTTCCACTGACTTATGTGTGATCACCTGCCTTGTGTCAGTTCTCCATTAAATAGTCTTTCAGGCAAGCATCAGAACAATGTGGCCAACCCATCAGAGTTGTGCTGTCTACAGTAGAGTTTGAATGCTTGGCAGTTTAGTTCAAGAAAGGACCTCAGTGTCTGGTACCTTATCCTGCCAAGTGATCTTCAGAATCTTCCTAAGACAATTCAAATGAAAGCAATTCAGTTTCCTGGAACGGTG